CGAAATTTTCCCGAGTAGAGCGCAGCGTTTCCCGAGCGTCGTCTTCAGCTTACTGAGTCTTAGTAGGGAACAAGGAAATATAATCTCTATATAACCCCTATAAAACCCTATTAAATGTACATCTCTATATATATATATATTCCTGTATTCCCTACTTAGAACCAGCAAGCCTCAGGCTCCGAAGGGTGCTGTGGTCTTCCGCCAGGGTGACCCGCCCGCGGGAGACCCTGGAGTAGGTAAGCTTCAAAGGGCACGAAATCATATGTTGACTCTGTTTCATGCATGTCTTCTGATGCTTACATTGGGTAAGGCGGTTTGTCATGATGCTGATGCCCTGGGTAACTTTCGCTTGCGGATGATGAGTCCCAAGAGGGATCTTTGGGGCTCCTTATCTTCGTATTTCCTGTTTGGATCCCCCCACCTGGTGGATAGGGGCTCACAATTCTGAGAGATTGGCTCAACAATCGTCATTGGTACGCAGCCCAGGCCAGGAACAATGCAGACCTGATAGCAGCGAACATAGTTGAGGCTGTTCAAGGAGTCGCAAGGTGGTATCCATCAGCTAGCAGCTGATGAGGCCCCTGAATCACGAGAGATCCATACTCTACTTAACCAGATCCTTGCAACCATTCCTGGGCAGTATCCAATGTTCCAGGGACATTTCGAGGGCTCCACAAGACCAAGCGGGCCATCCTTGGGTACTCCCCCCATCTAGTAACAGTTTATAGTAACATAGGGTTCATATTCAGGGCTTTTAATTTAGACTACACATAATTTTTCTCGAGCTGGTACTGGGGTGGGGCAGTACCCGAACCTCTTCCACCAAAACTCAGGCGCATTGCTGGCTGATCGTCAGGGGGGAGGCAAGGTCCCAAGACTTACTGGTGGTGAGTAGGGAATAAGGGAATACAATCCCTATACAATCCCTATCTACTATACTTTATTCTCTCCAGTAAGAAGCAGGCAACCCAAGTTTGACCTACAGGGTGTCCGGGCACCGAATCCACAGATCTGCTTTGAGCGTCTGGAGCTTCGGAGAGCATTGAGAGCATTTTGCGGAGGAAGAACCCAAGTGTGCAGTCATAAGCACACAAAGCATTTCTACTTAGAGTATATACCAAACGAAATGAGAGTTTCCTAAGGGCTCCAAGACATTTGGACAGGGACCCCGTGATTCACGTAGATTGGTGCGTCATTTCGTGTCTTTGTCAGGCACAGAAAAAGTGCAT